CTTTTCCTAGGACCGCTTCACTCCTTCGTCTTCCATTGTCTCCCCCTTGCTCTTGACCTCTCAGTGCGCTGGATTACAACCCCCATAAGGCTGCTAAAGGATCGGGCAGGTGGGACAGGTTGGGAGATCCCGGAGGGGAGAGACTGGCCTACTGAAAGCTACGTCTCTCAATGAAATGGATTGAAATAAAAAAAAATATGATTTTGTTTTTCTCCCTTTCAGTTTAATTTTTCACAGGACTTTCGTTTTCTCTTCCCGGGTGATGGGTGGTGAGCTTTTTGGGGATCTTATGTATATTATTATTATTAAGAGTTTTAAAAGTGACAAGCAGCGTTTCAAATGATTGAAATCGAGGGAAAGGACTTCTATTTTTATTTTATTTTATTTGTGATTTTCCTCCCTATGAATTGATTCCTACTTTCGTTTTCTCTTCTTCCCTGATGGGTGTGTGAGCTTTTGGGGGAAATCATGTGGTCACTTATTGTGCATATATTTCCATGGTGATCAGATTGTATCTCAATGCAACCTATATTTTATTTCCTTGTTCTGATTAGAATCATTCCAATATTTTATTTATACTAATTCAAAAGTTTTAGATGCTGCTAATGCATCTGGACCAAATTGAGAGGTGTTTTAATTGCAATTTTAGGCAGGGCTAAATATATTGCAGTAACTCAGATGGTTTAAAACATGAATGGAAAAAAGGTGATTTCTTCTCCTTCTCATCCTTCTCCTCTTCATCCTCTTCTTCCCCATTTAAGTCCCATTGACATCCAAAAATGAGAGTTAACTGTGGTTTTCAAGCTGTGATTGTTCCAGGATACAAATATGATCTGTAAATCAGGGTCAGAATTATATTTTGTTTCTTACATCATTCAAATATAACTTCCGGTTTTTAATAGTAGAAATGTTTGAAGTGGCTAAAAATAGAACCATTTTCCTGCCATCATGTCAGATAAGTCATATAATTTATTTCTAATTATGTTGGAGTTGATTAAGTTGCAACATTATTTATGTTGATTTTTTTCATTAGCTGAATTGCAAAATATTTAAAACTTAAATACTCAAACGAGTTCAAGACCCATCTCTAGATGTTCTTTTATTTATGTTAGAACAAGGGAAATTCAAATGTAATAGTTGAGATATCGTTCTAGTAATCTTTATATGAAGTTATTAAAAAAAATCAAGACAGAATTTTACCTTCAAATCCCTTAAGCATGTCAGATTTGTTGATTTACTTCAATATACAAACTGTTTTTCTATGTGAGTTTCTGACTGATGTTAATCAGAATTAACTTGGATACTTTCTTTGGACTTCTTAAAAGTGAGAACTGCACATTCATATCTGTAATGTGTATCTTTTCTTTCGATTTATTAAGAAAGCTATCCCTGGCTAATGAAAATAGCTAAGGTTTTATATTACTTAGAATGCACTTGTACTCTATATTTCATTAATAAAAAAATCCTTGAAGTTCTTGGTGTTTTTGGACAGAGTACTGATTTGAGAACATTTTGAATTATGTGGCTTGATCACTTTCATTTGTTGTTTTAGATTCTTGTTCGGAAGGAGAAAAAGAAAGTTTCTGGAGAGAAGAAAAACATGGAAGGAACTGGTGACAGCAGTCGTTCTGAGGTCTGTCTCAATTTTATTTAATTGTATGCATTAAATATAAGGTAAAGTTTCCCTCGCACATATGTGCTAGTCGTTTCTGACTCTAGAGGGCAGTGCATCTCTGTTTCAAAGCTGAAGACCCAGTGCTGTCCAAAGACATCTCTGTGGCCATGTGGCTGGCATGACTAAATGGCAAAGGCACACAGAACACTGTTACCTTCCTACCAAAGGTGGTTCCTATTTTTCTACTTGCGTTTTTTACATGCTTTTGAACTGCAGAAGCTGGGACAAGTAACAGGAGCTCACTCACTAGGGATTTGAACTGCCGAACTACCGTTCTTTATGATTGACAAGCTCAACATCTTAGCCACCGAGCCACTATGTGCTTCAGTATTAAATATTATACAGTCACTAATATTTGGACCTTGAATATGTTTATTAGGAAATCAAATGTCCCAAATTCATTAAATATTATACTTACACACCTACTATTTCTGTCCGTGATTTTGTCTTCATTTCAAAACAATAAAAAACAAGCAAGTAATTAATTTCTCCTTCCGTTTTATTCCCCCCTTTGCCAATCATATGTAACTGCCTCAACTTATCTTAAGAACCTTACGAGAAAATACCTGTACAGTAGTCTTGGTTTTAGCAACCACAGTTGGGACTGGCAACTTGATTGTCAAGCAAAAAAACCTGTGCTTTTGACCTTACTTCAGGATTCCTTTGCTTTACAGAACTGTAAAGGTGACAAATGCAAGAACTGGTCGCAAAGATCACAGTGATTTTTTATCACTGTTGTAACTGCAAATGGTTGCCAAACAAGGCAGATGCTAAATTATGACTTCCTGTACATAATTAGGTCTTGATGCCCTACTTTCTACCGGTCTATTCATGTAATTTTTAAAAATATATTAAAAAATTGTATATATCTGTGGATATAGCTTTGAAAAGTGGCTTAATTGAAAT